TTGGGGGGCCATAGCAGAAATACCATCAATCTTATAAGTGAAAGGCCAGTCAATGTTACAAACTATTATTTATGTAACCAAATGCCATAGTCTGGACCAGTTCTCAGAACAGCATAATTACATACCTATGTCTTTTGTTCTGTTTAAATAAGCTCAAACCACACTTCCCCTTGAGGTGAGGCAAATGTGTTGCTTTCAGTTGCCTCCGGAAGGAACTGTTCCTTTTATTGATACTTGTAACAACTTTTCTCTCCTTTGTGTCAGAGAGTGTGCTATGACTAAACGCTTCTACACTTTTACTCACGCCATTATCTACTCTCTTTCCATTGGCCTATAAAAAATGTTCCTATCTAACCCAGTTGCTTCTTTTTGGAACCATTTTTTTTTCTAGTCAGACAAATAGAGACAGAGAGACAGAAAGTGAGAAATCACCCCCCACGGAGGATGGCCATGCCACAGTCACTTCTCCATTCAACTCTTGGGATCTTGGGCACACACGCACATGCGCCTGATGTGAGTTTAAGCCACCGGGTCCAGGACTTGAACAGTGGTCTACTACATAGGAGTCCAGCGACACAGCCATTATGCCAACTGCTGGTCCCCCAAATTGCTTCTTTTAACTGCCATCCCTGCTAACATTTTTCCACTCAGCAAAAATGGTCAGAAACTTTTCATCTCTATTACTCATCACCAGCTCTATACTTAACTTCTACCCTCTGTTTTTTATACCATTTCAATACTGTTGGCTACTGCAAGTTAAATATGATGAGTACTGGTTGTTTTTCTTTCTCTCGACCTCTGGAAGGACTTAAATTCCTTTAATTAGCAGCCTTGACATATTTTCCCAGTGCTAGGCCACTTTGTTTTTTCCCCATGATTCTTTGACAACCTGTTGTCTCTTCTTTACCTGGCTACCTCATTCAGGAAGCTGGGTCCTCCTTCCTCCGTTAGACTTTTAAATGTAAGACAGTAAAGATGATTCTTTCAAGATTCAAGAAGTGATTCTCTCACTTCTTGCCTTCTCTTAATGTGTACTCATCACTTGGTTCATATTTTCATCTTGGTTTTTAATTCTTATACTTGATTCTGCTTCCTATATACACATTATGCTTGTATGAACCTATCTCATTCATCTGCCTTAAATTTTAAAGTAAGCTAGGATTGAAACTACTTCTATTGAGCCAGATCTCACTAACACTCTGCAAAGTATTACATATGTAAGTACTATGGTTTGATTCTTTTTTTTAATTATTAATTTTGCCAGAGGGCTATGGGCTCACCAGAGTGAGTCAGAGGGAAAGAAAGTGGGAAAGCACCACCCATTGGGAATGGCCACGCCACAATTCTTTCTCCTCCATTTCTCCCTCCTTTTGGGATTTTGGGTATGCACACACACCCACACACCCCTTGCATGTTTCTCAAGCCCTTCTGAATCCAGGACTCAAACCACACAGTTGGCCATGTGGGATCCAGCTACCTTAACCACCATGCGATGGGCTGGCTGTTCAATCTCTTTTCTCTAATAAAGGGTCAAGTCTTCACTTTTCTGCAAAGATTCCCAGCAAGACTTATTTCGTCTGGTTCCTAAGGAAACAAGCACCCCAGTGTCAATCAAGAGTCTACACTAAATATTATTTCCCTGAGATCTGAGTTTCCACTGCCCACTCTTCTGAGTTCCCACACTTCTTTGTCTCTCTTGTTTCTTTTATCATTATTTTCCCGCTATCTCGGTTTTCCACTTGCCTGTGTGAAGTGTCACAGTCATCTCGTAAGAATGTACAAGGGTCAGCTACGGGCAAAGCAAAACAGCGGTGGAGGATAAGAGAACGCCGAAAGCCGTGACACAGGCCATGCTCTTCACCCGGCCTGCCACCGTAGCACTCGCAGTGTCGTCAGGAGATAAAGCATGGCCACGAGGCGGTAGAAAAGAATGCAGTCCTCACAGGCCAGTGTGCTTCAGAGTTCTGATAAGAGGAAGATCAGTGTGTTGGGGACCACGCAGGGGAAGTTCTGCCGTGAAAGTGGAATTTGAAGTGAATCTTACAGGACGCATAGGATTTAGCTTCGGTGGCCGAGCATGGAGAAGCATTGGGTAGAAGTGGAGTTTGTTTGGGGGGAAACAAGGCTGAGTAGAGCAGGGAGACTTTGACTTCTGAAGGGCACTGAGGCCAAACTGAATTGAAACATATAGGCCAAGCATTTCGGGGAGCAGTTTGCAAGTTTTATTTGTTTTCTCTTTTAATGCAAATACAAACATTCCTCTTTTAAAGTATATTTTATAAAATCCTCTTTTAAAGTGTATTTTTAAATCATGGATGTAGGCAGTGGAGGGTTCCTGGAGGTTTTTGAACAGGAAAGTGATGGAAGGGAAGCATAACTTCAGGCAAGTGAATCTGCCAGTAATAGGTACAAGAATTTGAGGAGGGGTGCTTGGAAAGAGAGTGGAGAGACCAGCCATTGCTGTGGGCCAGGTACAAGGCAAAACTGCTGGCCTGGGCTAAGGTAGGGTGGAAGGAACATAGATGACAGCTGCCTTAGGCCCAGGTCTCCAAAGGCAAACTCAAAGAGTCACATGAGAGTGATTTATCAAGGAAGCATTTCCAATAGAAAATAGTAAGGCATTTGGGGGGGGAAAGGAAACAGAATAGCAGCAGTGGTCAAGCAAAGTGTGATTTTTAGGTCTGAGCCCCGGCTTCAGCCTGATCTGGGAGGAGAGCTCGGGCTTGAGCCAAGGGGCTGGTCTCTTATTCCCTGCACTCAGGCATGGCCTATGGGATAGGGGAAGGATAAGGAGGGAGAAAACTCACAGGCACTTTGGCTTTTTGAACCAAAGAGAAGCTAAGCAGTTTAGCAGTCAGCTAACCAGAGCCTCAGATGGAACTGTTAGAAGCAAAATTTACAGAAGAGATGAGGAAACAGACTGTCAGGTTCTCTTATATTAAAACTTACAAAAAAGAATTGAAGTGAGGGACATATCAAGGAGACAGTCAGATACGTGGATGCACAGAGACGTAAGATGCCAAGCCCTCATCTCTCACTACTCAGAGTTTTGAATCGTTTACCATCCGTAGTGTGAAAAGAACTTATCGATATACTCCAGTAGTTCTCGTTGGGTTCTGTAAGACGTCTAAGTGTGTTGTGAACCTGAAGTATGAGCACACGTCTGGCACAGGCAGACCAGTTCGAGCCACATGCCTTCCACCTCTTCTCGTGTGAGCTCCATCTTGTGATACACACTTTTTCCTGAGGAGTTTGAACAGCTTTTGACAAGCATTTGATTGAAATCAATAAATGGAGCACAATGTGCATGCCCTAGTAAAAAGTAATCGAATTATTGGCCAGTGTGCTAAAGTGTGACCTCATCTGAGATTCATGGCCTGACTTTAAAGGGAGACCAGTCTACAGGCTGCGTGACTTTTGTCTAGCAACAGGCAGAGTCACAGAAGCACACAAAGAGGAGATAGTGGGATTTAATCCGAGTTGAAGGTTAGCCAAGTGAGTTAATGGAGGGGAAAAATGTGAAGGAAGTTAAATGTTTGCAAGTAAATGATTATAGTGATTGGACCCTGGGATCTAGGCTAAGTTAAAAAGAAAGAAATAAGAGGTGGAATTAATGAATTGGTTGGAGATCTTGGTGTGGTCAAGGAACTGATGAATTATGTATACTAAGTTAATAAGCCAAAGTTAGGGATGGCAGAGGAGAGCATTTGAATTGAGAGTGGGGTGCTATGGTTCTTCCAGATAACAAGGTCAAGGAGAAGACCTTGAGAGTGGGTGGCATACATGAACTAGAGTGTGTTCGGTAGATATCCAAGTAGACACTAATGTCTCCAGGAGTAATGACAAGAATGGGAGTACACATTTTCAAAATGCTTTAGCCTTTTCTTTAGCCTCTGACTTAACTGAATAAAAACAAAAAGAAATAAAAACAAAACAAACTCTGTAAGATGTCCCGAATGGGTGAGCCATTAACTTCCACAATAGTATTTATTCACCTTGGTACCTAGAATTACACACAATGATTACCCAAGTAACTAAATCTTCACTTTTATTTACACGGAATATTTCTATACACAAGGACAGTGTCAGACCTACATGGTTTCCCTTAGTAATTGTTCAGTGCCTCCCTGGATTCATAACTTGTAGGGTCACTGGAGAAAAGAATTGTAAGTCAGTGCAGAAGGTGATTAAAGTGTCTGTTGCATTTTATTATAAGTCAAAGAAATGACCTAAATTGGAGTCATTGTGTATCCTCATCCATTTTGTTATTTTTTGTGTGTGTATGTAAATGGTTGTATCCTACCTTGTTTCCAGGGTATTTCTGGCATCTTTTTTCACATATATGGTTAGAGGACAGATGATAAAGAATGCTGGGTAAAGTTGTATTCATAGAAAAAAAAAAGCATTTGAAGGATCATGTTTAATCTCTCTCCCTCTAATAGAGAAGGTCCATGGAGGCACAGATCATATCAGTGTGTTTCATAATCCACCTCTAAGTCCTACCAGAGTCGTTCTACAAGAACTACTAAATAGATGCAAGCCAATAGCCCAGCAAGAACACAAGGCCCGGTGGTGCTGGCCCCATACGGGAAGGTCCCAGGTTCATGTCTGAGGCCTCCTTCACACGCCTGTGATCCAAGCTGGTGAAGGCTAGGGGTGGATCACAGTGGAAAGACCTTATTGAGGGTCCCTCTCTTTCTCTGTCTCTATCGCTCTCACCTAAGAAGTAAACTTTTTTTAAAAAATCAAACTATTAAATAGATGAAACAATCATTTAAGAAGTTTAATAATAGTGCTTTTGTGTTTGTTCTTTGGGCTATAAATATTCATAGATTGACCATGATTACTGCTATTAAAGTAGAAGGATTTGTGTACCAATAGGTTTTTAAATACATCAGAAAGACTAGAATGTATTATATATCATCTGCATTTTAAAATGGAATAAAATTGTACAGGGAGTTTTTGCTAGATGCATAACTCATTGTGGCTTGGTATTCCAGGTTGGAATTGTGCAGTATGGAGAAAACGTAACCCACGAGTTCAACCTCAACAAGTATTCATCAACGGAAGAGGTACTTATTGCAGCCAAGAAAATAATCCAGAGAGGTGGCCGCCAGACTATGACTGCTCTTGGAATAGACACAGCAAGGTATATGGATAAAAAAATAAACCAAACCAACTGTTCACAGTTGAGCCCTCTGTGATATTGGTTAAATAGTTACCTTGACAATATTTAAAGCCATCCTATTTAAAATTCAACTGAGAAGATTAGTTAATAGTTACAAGATCCGATTTTTTCTATTATATACTCTTACCACTTTCTTATATTTTCCTGATATCACAAGGATTTAACTGATAGAGAATCAATTTAAGAAAGTCATCATGGCCTGTTGCGTCACGGTCTTAGGTTGTAAGCCCTAATACTTGTTACTATGTTTTTCATTTCTTGCTTTCAGTTTCTAGGAACCTCAATCTAAAAGAATGGATTAATAATTAGTCTGCTTCTACTCAATTCACATTTATATTCTACAATAGTATGTACATACATTTTCAGCACTTAATTTAGGTTTATGGAAGCTCTGAAAATTAAGAACTATCTTGGGTCAACCCCATAGCCCGCTGGTTTAGAGTGTTGGGTCTTCCATGGCCAACCACAGTCAGAAGTCCAACTCTTGGGACTTGATAAACATTCCAGGTGTGTGTATTCGTGCCCCAAATCTCAGCAGGATGGAGAAATGGAGGAGAAGGGGTTACTGTGTGACCACGCCCTGGGAAGGGCCTTTCTCCCTCTCTCCCTTCCCATTTCTCTGTCTTTCTCTGGTGAGCACACATGCACTCTGGCAAGTATATAAATAAATAAATGCCATCTTATTTGAAATCATTTCAATACAAACATTGAATGACCTGACGACTTACTTTCTCACTACCCCCCCCTTTGTCTCTGTCTGGTCAAATTAATAATTATAATAATGATAATTAATAAAATAAAATAATTATTTTTTAGAAAAAGAAAGATATGGAAAGGATATCATTATTTGCAATGCTCTTTCTCCTTTCCAACTTTCTCCAAAGCCCCTCTAGCTGGCATCTGTTCCTCTCTTCCTTCCGCAGTTTCCTTCACAGCAAACACATCACTCATTCTGAGGCTGAACTTCATTTTATAAAAGCTACAGAGCTGTCCTCTCTTCCAGACAGAAAACATTTTATTTCCTGTGTTTTCTCTGATTTCAGTCAGCCCTTATTGCTATTTCTCCCCTTAATCACTCAACATTAAAGCTAACAAGTTTCTGAATAAGTACTAAGCAACGTCCGAATCACAGGAAATCTAATAAGTAGTTTGACTCATGTTAAGAATCCTTCTGTTAAGTGTCTTCAACTTCTGGACTCTCCCTAACTTTGAAGATCTAATTATTCATGTTCTCACTTCATCTGCCTG